AGTTTATATCTCGAAATTCTGACTTTATAACTTGCAATTTCAAGTTTATATCTATAGTTTGTATCATGCAATTGTCAGAATTGTGAGATAAAAAGCAATTACCTTTTTTAATTTTTTTATTCAGTGGCGGAAACGGGCTTCCATATTTTACAGCACATAACTTGCCTAAAATTCATCTGAGCCCTTTAAAGATCTGAGATTCCTCCTAAGAACATCTTTTGTGCTCGTCTTTAGGCTAAATAGCCGAAGACCGGACTCTCCTAAAGGGACCGAACCACGTAGTAACCACACCAGCGAGCGTCCAACTGGTCAAAATCACAGTAATGGTGAAGTGACCACTGATTCAGACCCCAGCCTGTACTGGTTCCACTCCTTATCCAGCTCCGTCGTTCACACCTCCCCCATCGTTACCTCCACACAGAACGCCACCACCACACTGGGCGGCACGGCGGTGTTACCTAGCAACAGCCATTCCATACGCCGCAAGGGTTCTGCGTGGGAGAAGGAGGTGGATCCATCCATGGTTGAGGCCGTTGTGGAAAAGGGCTCCAAAAAGCTCAGAGCCAAACGGTTGAAAGAGATGAAAGCATCCCTCCTGCTGAGCGAGGAACAAGTTTTAGGAGAGACAGGCGACGATTTAGAGGAGATATTCTCCCACAGTACACCCAAAACGGGGAAGAAACCCTCAAAAAGAAAAAACACAACCATCAGTCCTGACATCAGAGCCGAGAGCGAGGATTTACGCAGCAAACTCACAAACTTCACATTCAAGCCCAGAGAGAGAATGATTCATGCCGATCAGTCGGTTGCGAAAGCGAGTGCCAAAGTGGCGGTGCATGAGGGAGCGAAACCTACCGCACCTCAGATGCCAGAAACACAGGCCGAAAGTGGGAATCGGTCAAGCTCACATCGTCCGGCAGAGGGCAGCAGAGCTAATGAAAAACCCCGGCTAGGAACTAACAATAAAACCAAAGACTTTTCCTCTCCGGTCTTGAATGATGTGAGCACAGCTCAGAAAGGGATGTCTGAGGACACTGAACATCAACAACAGCTGCTGTCCAGACTCAACAGCCACTCTCCAGGTGAGAATAATGGCAACACTAATAAACACCCACAATCCCCACCAAGGACAGACCACCCAAAGGTGAAGGTGGCCAGTTCAACTCTGGCCAAACTTTCTAGATTCTCTTTTACGGGCTCATCTGAGGAAAACACTGGTGATAAAACAGTCCCAGCTACAAATGGCAGTACAAACAAAGTGCCAGCAAACCCGGTTTCTGAAGACCAGGAGAACACAAGCACACAGACCAGGAAAAATATAACCACAGATGCGAAGGCCACCACAATGCAGACGGGCAACATGAGGACAGAGCCCTCCGACAGACAGGAAGAAGCCGGAGAGAACACTACAAAGAAGAGGAGATGTTTTGAGTTGGGCTCCGGAGGCCCCGCAGGACTCCTCAAAGGTTTTTCACTGTTCAGCTCATCTGTCATAGACGATGAAGATCTAGATGCTGACTGGATCTGATGCAACAGGAGACGTTTGTCATGTGTATTAGCAGTATATGTATTTTTTGTGTTTATTTGTTCATTTAAATGCAGTGTGATGTGTTTTAATGGCTAAACAGATTCTGATGTCACAGTAAAAAGAGTCTATTTGCACTTTTCGTTTAGTAAATATCAGTTACATTTTTATGTCTGGTTTTGTTTTCTCAGTAACTCCGTTTATATAGTTACATTCATATGTATATACCCCTTGCAGTTTTTTTACATGCAAGGTTACATACCCCTCAGTTTTTTTGTTTTTTTAAAAAAGTTGTTTGAGTTATGTTCGTTTTTAAATGTTTTTATGGAAGCCCATTTCCGCCACTGAATAAAAAATAAAAAAGGTAGTTGCGACTTTTTTTCTTCTCATAATTTTATCTCATAATTTTTACATCTCGCAATTCTGAGAATTGCGGGTCTGCTTTTTTCCCCTCAGATTTGCGTGATAAACTTGCAATTGCAAGTTATAAAGCCAAAGTTGCGAGAGATAAAGTTGCGCCACATAAACTCACAATTCTGACTTTTTTCGCAGAATTTTGAGATATAAACTTAGTTATAAGTCCAATTCTGAGGGGGAAAAAGACTGATATTTTCTCAGAATTGCGAGTTTTTACATTTGCATGTTAAGTCAAAATTGTGAGATATAAAGACAGAATTGTGTAAAATCGTAATTGCGAGAAAACCCCCCTCAGAATTGCGTGTTTATATAACGCAATTTTGACTTTATAACAATTTTGACCTTTTTTTTGCAATTACAATTTTTACATCTCCCAATTCTGACTTTTTTTTTTCTCAGAATTGCATGATATAAACTTGCAATTATGAGAAAAGAGTCAGAAATACAAGTTTAAATCTTACAATTCTGACTTTATAACTCATAATTGTGAGTTTGTCACACAATTCTGAGAAAAAAGGTCAAAATTTGGAGATTTTAATACGCAAGTGAGAGAAAAAAAATTCTTTATTGGGAGATAAAAAGTAGCAATGACTTTTTTATCTTTATTTAGTGGGCGGAAATGGGCTTCAACTAAAAAAAAAACCCAAATAATACTAAATAAAAGGCCAAATGCTATTTTCAGCATTGCTCTTGTTTTAAAATGATAAACATCTCACTTGTTTTGCAAGAGATTCTTAAACATTTGAGCAGAACTGTACATTAAAAAGCACCATTCTACACTAGCATTTCCCCCCTAAAGTCCACTTACACTGATAATCAAGGTTATGTACCAAAACCTTAAGTTTAATTTTACAAGACAATTTTTCTTTCTTCCTCTGACCCTTAGAATCAAACATACTGTTTTTGCTACTTCACCTTTAATTAAGATTTCTATAGTTAAAACACCTCTGTTATGATTGCTGAATACCGAATAGGTTGTAAACAACTGGGCAGTCATGTTCATTTCCACATGGCTCTGACCTCATAACCATGATGATTTATGAATGGCCCTTTTTTGCAGCTTATTTTTGAAAATGGTTTGTGTACAAGGGAGCTCTAAATTAGTCTTTAGTTAAAAAAAAACAATCCTTTTCTCGCTTTAAGGAAACAGCCAATTCTAAACGTATAGTAAAACAGTGCAAGATAATAGAGCCAGTTAATTTAACAACCTAATAGTGCATGTTTAAGCGATTTGTTGTTCAAAAATAGTGTACTCGCCCAGCAAAAATAAAGCCAGGCTAAAGGTGCCTTTCAGCCCATGCAAAGCCAAATGCTTTAATGCTTAGTGAATGCTGTAAGAGATGTTTTCAGGCTTGAACAATGTACCCCTTGGGAGCAATAAATGACACCATGGTGAAGAGGTGTTGTCTATTGTCATAACGAATTGCATTCCATTGGGAGTTTAGGGATGAAGGTACTGCAGTAGGTGATAATAGGATCATACAGGATCTGCTGCTGTCCCCAAGGTTAAAATCATGGATTAAGATGGTTAAGTCAAGCACATTTCACTTGTTTGTCATTCAAACCTCTTTAACAGCAAGCAATTCCACCTACTTTGTTTATTGCTGTTTTAAAAGGAAATTCATCTTCTTTTTAGGCTCTTGTCTATAAGGTTATTGGTGTGTGTGAGAATGTATATGTATTTTTTATACACCTAGTAATGCTGCATTTGTTCTTGAAATAAGGACATGCTTTTATTGATGCATGTGTTAATATGTGACTATAATAAGCTTCTGTTTTGTCTTGAAGCAGTTATAAGATAATTTCCATTGACTGGCTGAGTTACTAGTGAAGTCAAGGTCTGTACAGCTTCAGTATTCGTCTCAGAGGAGAACTGCGGTAAAGGGAGGCTAAAGGTAAGATGAGACGTTAATGGATCCTAAACTTCCTGCAGATGGATCACTGGCCTTATCAATAATGAAGCGTTATTGATTTAATGTCTCTGAATGTGCCACCAAGGATACCCAAACTCACCATTACATCATTCATTTGGCATCTTACAGCGTTTTAGAGGATTGAATTTGGGACTTTGTCATTTTAAAGCTTTTTCGCAGCAAGTTTGAATAATTTTAGTCTGGACTCTATGGTGAGGTCTGATAGATAGATATCTACAGTTTGTATAGTTACAAGTTTCTGTATTCCTTAACATTTTTTACAATTTATTATAAGTTTTTGTAAAATTTTTTAAAGGTTGTTATATGTAACTATATAAACAATAGATAGATAGCAACATATAACATATGCAATTTTACATATTCACATTTTTTTATTTTACAGAATTTCACGTCTCACAAAATTACATTTACAAGTTGCATTTACGTTTTTCTAAGGTCTTATCTATTTATTATCAGTCAAAAAGAAGTTACTGTTTAAATGTAGCCTAACTATATAACTAATAGATATATAGTTTATATAGTTACATACAAGTTAACACACACAAACACGCACACGTTTAAATACACGTACAAAAGTTTAGTTTTTTCAAAAGGTTTTTATCAATTTATCATCAAAATTACAAGGTTACAGTTTTTATTGGACTAACTTAAAAGTTATCAAAGGTTTCTGTTTATATGTACCTATAGAGATGGATGGATGTTTTAACTTTGTTAACCCACATAAATGCCACTTGTTTTAGCGGAGAATGTAATGCGATTGTAATTGAAAATTCTAGTCAAAAGCCTTTTGGTCTTTAGGTCAGAAGGCGTAAAGCTTTCAGTTTCCCCATCAGATTGTTTTGACAATTTTGAAAGCCTTGCATGTGTCATGTCAGAACCATATGCCGGAGTGATTTTGGTGTCTTGAGTGAACATTTGAGCCACTGCACATCTAAAGGAACACCTTTCGTTAAACTCTATTTTGTTCTATTCAGCAGAGTTGGCGTTTTGTTTGGCAGGACCTGGGATTTTCCTTTTAGGCTTGAGCTAGAACACTCTTCTTTTAGGGTAAGCATGGAAATCTTTGAGAAACAGTCATTTATGCTGCAAGCTGTAATTCCGAAAAGATTAATAAAGAAGAAAGTGAGTTGTTTGGTTCAGGTAATACAGGCATTACGCTCTTCTTCTGTTGCACATGATCATATGAACTGGACAGAACAGAACGTGTTGCTCTGACAGTTGGGGTGTAGCTCGATTACGTAAACCCAGAGGTGTAATATGAATGCTGTTTTTGCAACTCTTCACCTGGAACGCTTCAGGGGAAAAAACATCAATCACTGCGAATAGCAGGTTTATGGGAGTTGTCATGGAGCAAACTCTATCTGCTTTAAAAAAAGCTAGTTTGCTCTATTTTTGTGATAAATAGAAGTATGTTTTTGACATGACAGGCATGCATTTGACACATTAAATGTGTGTAAAGTTGGGCAACACTCTTCTGCATGGTCAGCCATCGCCTGCTAACTGGAAAGAAAATTGCTGATCAAGAAACACTGACTCACACGTTAGCAAGTTTGTGAAATTTGCTACATCCTTCTGAGTGTCTCAACAGTTTTAGGAAAAATTAACACCTAAATGAATGTTCTGTTATTAGTTACTAACAGCATAAATTTGTGTTTTCCAAACGTTTTGAAGAATCTTTATACAGTTTATAGCTGCAAAAATAGCTCATTTGTCAAATCTTTTTTTTTTAGTTTGTCACTCTTCTTGGTTACCAAGAGCTGTAAAGCAATTCTTGATAAAGGTATTCCTTTGAGCTCCAATGAAAGAAAATCTGGGGCCCTATGAATTCAGTGATGCAGAAAACGCGGATGGAATCACAGAATCCAGTCACAAAAAACAGAATTTACCGTTTAAGGCGGAATTTGCCATATTTTGAATGAATAAATTAAAAGTAGGTCAGTACACAGTACACACCACACGATATGGACTACTCTGTGAATATTAATTATTTAAATATGAATCCTACATGTTTCTGTGAGAATGAATTGCGCAGACGCACTGTTTTGTTTACTACACACATGCTCACGTAGTTTTTAGCCGCCTCAATATATGAGTACATGAACCTGATCTCCAGAACTGCTCTGAGAGTCACCTCATGAGCATTTTACCGTGTTTCGTGAGAAAAACTATAGTCATATCATATACAAACAGAAACCTAAAGGTCTTCACAGCAATCCATCAAAATAAAAGTTTGGTTTAACATGAAGAAACTGTGACAGAAATATATTACTCAATGTAATTATAGTACTATTACTGACAATAAAATTATAATTAAAACATTAGTTTTAAGGAAATATTACCTGAAAAATGTAAACAAATCAATTATTTAGAGATGCTTTATTTAGATAATTAAACTTTTATGAAAACATTCAAATGGAATCCAGAAAATTAATGTCAAACAGAATTTGATAAAAAAATATAATTACTTTTTTTGGGGGGGAGGGGGGGCTTAAAATATAATTTTTGTTAAACTTTTAAAAAATTTTGGGAAAAATAAAACTGAATTTGGGAAAAAATAAAACTGATTTCAAAGGGCGCTAAAAATCTAATGGGTTTTGAACACCATAAGATTGAGTAAATGATGTAGAATTGTCATTTTTGTGCAAACTATTCAAGGTATACATGCTTTCAGGCTTTCATTTAGTGCAAGATAATTCACTTTGTGAGGCAAATGTTCTGCGAGAGAATCAAAGTCTGCTCTAGTTCCACAAACACTTCATAAAGGTCCCTCTGACCTAGACCAGTATTGATC